TGATATAGCTTACAAGAGGTCTGCTCTCACATGTAAAAATCATATACTCCCAGATACACACATACTCTGATACACTACAATGCAGTAAGTGTACAAAAGATAATACACAAAGAATTTAATACATATAAGTTTTGAAACAAGTGTATATTTAAACAAGATTCTCATGCCATGCTTGTTTACACTGTATCTATGTACTTATTTTTTCTCTGCTACGTATCTAACACTTGTGTGTGCGTTCCTTTACCATTTTCACTCTATGATCTCCTGTCTGCATATAATCAGGCCTCTAAAGTATACCAGAAGAGATTTTTATAGATGTTAGAAAATAGTTTTAGCTCTAATATTTTTGTATAGTAGGTGAACGAATTTATAATGTTCTACCTTGGGCTGACTTACATTTATACAAAATCTTTGCAATTATTTATTGACTTTATGAATTGTGAATTCTATTGTTTATTAAAACATAAAATAGTGGTTGTTTTATCTTTAGGATGACACTTATTGTATACTGTTACATTCTTATATTTTTAATATATACATAAGATGAATGTCATTCGTTTTGAATGATCTTTTACGAGTTTTATACATGGAAGCATGTACTAACTCTTGAAACAATTACATATAAAGCAAATGTAATAACTTTTCTGTATGTAAACACTGTGTAACAAAAAGACACTGAATATCAGCTAAGGTTGTATTTTTTAAAAGATTTGACATGTTAATATGAAAGCCTGCTTAGAAAGTAAACCTAGCACTTGATATAACATTTTTGAAAAATAACATCTGTAGGAACTCAATTACTCGAGATACTGGAGATACAAAATTGTTATTGTAACTGGCATCAGGGGAAAGTAAAACTTTTACATTATAGTCGGTACAGCGTGCAATAGAGAGATTGTAACGGTACCGAAAATATTTTCTTTTTATCGTGAATTTGATTTGATAAGCAAAGTTACTCATAGCTATAATGTCGTACAGATCATTTTGATAATATAACTTTTAGATTTTTAAGGTGCTGTCCAACATAGTATTAACACAATCATACCCAAGCCTTCTAGTCTAGCTGTTGCCTGGATCGCAGTGTTGCTACATGTCTGTCGTTTGCGTTGCTTGTTGCAGAACAACTCAACAATGCGACCATCTCCGCCCACACACCCCTCATCACAGCCATCCCCCCAGCACCCCCAGCCACCCCCGCCCCCACACTCGCAGATGATGTCCACTCAGGTAAGCCTCATTCGACACGTACACTGTCACTCATGGAGAATCACTTTGTCCACTTTCATTACACTATATCATTGTGTACCTAAAACTGTTTGCTCGAAATTGCTTCCTTCCTGTCAAAGTTGCCTCTACTTTATAATTTTCAGCTTATGTTTCTTGAAATCCAATAGATCATACAAACAGAAAAATATCGAAAAATGTTTCTACAAGCATAGTAAATAATTAGCTGCTAGAAACACGCGAGTTATCTATAGTTTCATGAAATCTGACATTAGATATTGTAACTGTATTTTGAATTGACGTGTGTTAAAAATTAACGCTACCTTGCTTAAGTAGATTTTATGAAAGTGCATTGGCACTACAGTATGTAAAGGTAAGGTAAAAATCTTTGGCTGCTATGAGTTTTCAAGAGACAATAATTATCAGTTTTATAACAATAAGTTAAGGTAAGATTTATCTACGTGTATAACATTTTGGTTTACTTCGTCCTATTCTTGATTGTGGATCCTTGTTATTTGTAATTCTTTTTGCACATTGATATGTCAGGGATGTATAAAGTGCACTGGGTTGATTTACATCAACGTGTGCAAGTGTTATGTGATCTATTGCTTACTGTGGCTGCCTGGTATGTGACTCTCAAAATGTAAAATAGCTATGACTTGTGATTGGGTTTTTACCCACAAAACTACTTTAAGATAAAAATTACTCAATGTATATGTTCCTGACTTGTTACAGTTTATGGGTCCACGATATCCTCCTGGACCACGACCGGGAGTACGTATGCCGCAAATGGGAAATGATTTTAATGGAGTACGTGTTATTATTTCCTATAATGTGTATTTTAACACTTTACCTACCGGAAGTTACTTAATAATATTTTGTTAAAAATCGAAGGCAAATAGTTGTAGTTTTCAAAGGAATTGTTTTATAACGATAGCAATTATTTAAAAGAAAATTGAGCTCCTTGTAGATAGAGTAAAATTCTATAACCTATTGATAGGCTACCAGTAATTAAAGTGTTAAATTCTGTTGTGCCTCTACGTTTATGATATTAACTTACACGTTATTGTTTTGTTCAGCCCCCTGGACAGCCAATGATGCCAAACAGCATGGATCCGACTAGGCAAGGTAAGAGCTTACTTTTCTGCTAGATACACATTGATTTTTTTTCTGGTATTGATGATAATTGCGAGAGGAGAATGGCATAGACGCATGCATACCAAAAACCACACAGCAATAAATGAATCAGTAATTATTGAAAGTGGATTGGATTGCTGTGATGTGGAGTGGATTGGTTTTTGAATTGTCTAGTTACATGCAGTGGTGTAGTTTTTTTTCTTACTTCAGCCTTTTGTAATTAAATTTTTTTTTGTATAAAGTGTAGATGCATTAAACAAATAAGATCCTAAAATTTATTCAATTTTATTTATTCCAACTATTTAGATTTCTTTTTCTAAAGACATGTAATACATTTTTTAACAATTTTTATAAATTATTAACTATGATTTATTTTCAGTTGATTGTTTCCGAACATTTGATCATTAATTGTGTGTCGTAATAAATATTTAATATAAATATCTTTCTTTCAAGAATGAGTTACATTCAGTCTTGTCGAAGTATACTATTTGTATTGTTGTTAGAGATTTTCGTTTGTCTATATGCTACAATATATGTTTTCACAGTCGAGATGTTTTTTCGAGTATATTCACTATGCGACCGCAAAGTAACTAGACCTTACCGCCATCAACCTGACCTTACCTACCTGCCGTACTAATGTGTGCTCTTGTGTTCCTCAGGCGAAGCTGGAGAATTTGTAGGGTGGCAAGGTAGGAAGCAACCCAGCAACCAAATCACACTCACATGACTTAGTCAAGCCTAACTTTTAGTTTTTTTTTTCTCCTGCTCGTCTTAAAATTTTTGTTCTCACTCTCATGAATAAATGCACTAGCTTAGTTTCTGTGTATAAATACCAGCTCACTCGATCTTAAAATCAATGTATCAGATGCAATTTTCTGTAATGAGATATAGAATCCACTCTGCCTACGAGAACAACGTTTTCACTATCAAAAAAAAAGTAGCAAACTTAACATTACTAAGTGTACACTTTCGTTTATGTTAAGTATCGAGTTATAAACGTTTAAACTCTGCACATACGTAAATAAATGTATGTAATATTGTGGCTAACACACCTTGCTGTAACTACAAATCACCATGATATGAATTGAGTTGTTCCAACACATAAGCTGTTGGTTCGCATAAACATGTACATGTACAACGAATTAATTGTTTTATTAATTAAGCTTCTTATACAAAAGATCGTACAACATCATGTGAATAATACTGTTTGATGCTAATTAAATGTAGTTATTGCTGTTTGATTTAAAAAGGCATTAATCGAATGATTGTCTTGTCATGTACCTGACACAAAATCCATTGTTTTCTTTCGGTTGTTTTCAAGCTGAAAAGTTCACAAAGAGATATTTGGTAGTGCTGTTTTCATCCTACGCATGAGCTTTTTACTTGATTTATTTATATGTAGACGCAATTACCAATTCAGCATGATGTCCACTTGCTTTACTATGTAATTCGACTTCGGCAAAGCATGACTTTACTTTTTAGTATATCAAAAAAGGTAAAACAAAATTTGAACATCTTATTACACCATTAAAGGTATAGAGAAAGTTACAAAGCCACATGAATTGCCGTCAGTCCAATGATTCACGATTAGCATTTAGTATTAACATGAAATTAGAATAGTATTAATACTTGTACGATTGTAAACAGATTTATCAAGAATTGTTTTTGTTATTAGCTCCTCCAGGCATGAATCCCATGAATCCAAGGATGAACCCACCGAGAGGGCCTGGAATGGGTCCAATGGGACCGGGAAGTTATGGGCCAGGAATAAGAGGACCACCTCCTAACAGTACCCTAGGTCCAGGAGGTCCGGGAGGACCTGGAATGCCGCCCATGAGTATGGCTGGACCAGGCGGGAGACAACAATGGCAACCTAACACATCTACGGTACGTATCTATGTATATGATTATTAATTGACACGGTTTACCTCAGTTAGCCATAGTATATTAAAATTTTAGAATTCATAATTTGTAACTTAATTTTTGTGTACTTCTAGCCCATGAATTACTCATCGTCGTCGCCTGGTAATTATGGAGGACCCCCAGGATCAACGGGTCCTCCAGGCCCAGGTACACCAATTATGCCGAGTCCACAAGATAGTAGTAATAGCGGCGGTGAAAACATGTATACCATGATGAAACCTGTACCTGGTGGAAACATGCCCGGTGTAAGTATACCTTATTCTTATTAATATTTATTATAAATAATATTTACTGATTATTTAATATTTACAATGACATAATTTTTTGAACGAAGTTTTTATAATAATTTTACTAATTTAATCAGGACTTTCCCATGAGTGGCGGACCAGAGGGTGGTCCAATGGGTCCTATGGGACCAAACACGATGGGTCCTGTTCTTAACGGCGATGGTCTTGACGGAATGAAAAACAGTCCAGCTAACGGAGGCCCTGGAACTCCTCGGGAAGATAGTGGAAGTGGAATGGGTGACTATAATCTCGGTGGTTTCGGAGGTCCAGGGGAAAATGTAAGTATTAGTAGGTTCTACAACAGTTCTCTATAACAGCTACTCGACGTGTTAATATGAACTTATATGTGCGATAATCATAATTCCCTAAGACTATATCATTCTATTTCTCTCTATATATAATTCATGACCAATGTTGGTGGCATGTTTGAATAGACAATTTTTATTTATTCATAGAGTGTTCATATTGATTCCAGATTTATTAGATCAATCAAGAATCATAAAACATATAAGTTCATATTATAACTCATCTTTCTTCTAATTATTCAGCAATTAACAGATTCAGGTGCTTTCGTCAATACGACTATTACTTATTCCATTCCAAAATACTTTGGGTGTTATTACATTTAGAGGGCTTATCCTCCAGCTTATTCCAACACACAACCTAGTTAATGCTTATTCAAAATATCAATATTTTATCAGAATTTGATATGTCCTGTTTAATCATAAAGGCTTTTTGGGAAATTTAATTTAGATTACCTATTCGCATCTAATATTGTTATAACTGGCTCAATTGTGTCTAACTATTATCATACTAACGGTATGACTAATGATGCAAGTATGAAGTGAGTCTAAAAATCTGTTTTACTTGTTTCCACCCTCCCCCCGTAAAGCCTATGCATTTCGTGATCATTTCGTAAATAGAAGAAAGTAAAATAAAGCAATCATAATATATTATAAAAAGTTGAAATATTTATAGAAATTGCATCAAAAGTTCCAACTTTTTCTATTAATTGAATCAAAGATATAATATTCTGTGCATCGTTCTTGTGCAAGCCTTTTCGCTTCAGTTTTGACGAAATTTTTATCGACTTTTACACCTACTTCATACGATAAAAGATTAAATTGTGAATCAGCTTTCATACTATGTTTAATTATAAAAATATATATGCAAGATATTTCGTAAGGTTTATCGTAGATGGCACTGGAGACATTTTTGTGTCTAGACGATTTTTAGTGACACTCTTGCGAGCCACAATTGCAAAATTAGTAGCTTATCCACCGTCTAACTGTTGTGGTACTGTTTTATGTAAAAAAAAAAAAAAAAAGAAAACGGTTTGAAATTATCTAAATAGTTATCAAAAACCAGAAATCGTCTCGCTATTGGTCGAAAAATTTCTTCCTTGAACAAATACGGTACACATTACGAGATGCATATATGTAACTGATATTTTTAATGAGCGCGCACAAACGGTGTTCATAACGTCTGTTACATGAATTTTGATTCGTTTACGTTATTACTTCGGATTGTGAGTAGGATTCCGAATGAAAAGTGTAATGAGTAATCTCGCACGTGCGCCTTCTGTATTCCCGACAGTTTTTTTAAAAAGTCAAGTCGCCTTGGATCCAGCCCCGAGTACATAGATGCCGTAGATTTCCCGGTTAAACACGCAATTTGGAAAAGGATCATACGCATACGCATATGCTGACGTTTGTCGTCACGTGGTACTCGCACGTACGCGCGCGCGCGTTCATAAATACTTTGTCAATGGCTCAAGCATGATTCTCGCTCATGACAAGACGCAAGTAGAGAACGACAGGGAGGAAAAAGCAAAAAACATGAAAAGAATATACACAGAACGTTCGTGATAACGCATACTACGTCTATGTGCGTTCGTTGATCAATCGTTCATAATTTGATTAGGTTAGCATTTAAGTGCTCATTACGCTGTTATTACGAAACTTATGATACTCGAATCGTCACAGAATATATTATGAAAGAATTTTTACGAGTATGTATATGTTGTATACATATATATGCTTTGCTAAATACTCAAGAGGTTGCAGTTTAGAATTTTACTATTACTATTTTCTTTCTCCTTTTTTTTTTTTTTAATACGATTATTTCTATACCCATACTTCATTATCGATAGAGTTACGATACGTCTTTTTTTTTTATCAAATCGTGTCAACGCCAGCAACGTCTATTATTTATATTTATTTGAACATTAGCTTGTAAGCAAAGGTGCCTGAAAAACACGAACTACTGTGATTATCAATCGCATAATTGTTAATCGATTTTTAACTCTCTTTTTTCTATCCTTCATTCTTTCTCCTTTATTTTCTTTTTTTTTATTGTTCATTTAAACCGCTGTATCTCGTAATCGCATCGCTGGCCCGCCAGCAGGCGACTGTGGCTTATTTTTCATCCCATTATAGAGTTAGGCCTTCGAGAATTAGGATAGAAAAAAAGGATAGGTTACAAGTTCACGATAGGTAAGGCATATGAGCATTGGTTACGTGAAGTAACGAAAATTTCGGTCGAGACATTTTTCTTGCGGACAACGCCGTTCGGTATGTTTTTCTCTCGAAATTAACGAGATCATTTCCTTTTTAACCGTTCTTTTTTTTCATAATATTATACCATTACCATGCCGTTTCGAACATACGCATCAAGGCTCATCTAGTCGTTTGAATCAAATTGCTTTGCATCTTTTTTTTTTTTAATCGAAGATTGAAACTTTTACAAAACTCTGTAATGAGGTGATTAAATTGGCCGAACTCGTACCGAGTCCTTCCACTGTTTGCTCACAATTCAATACCGATAGAAGCAAGTATGTGCACTATCTATTCGCAGCTATTGACGTCGCAACATCTCGGGCGTACGGTTTCGTTGCCCCAAACGGTTTACGATAAAACGTGATCGATTATTATCGTCGTTGCCTCCTCGAGAAATAAACAAAACACAAAAACGTGTGTAACGGCATTGTTTCTAAGCGCGTTGATATTCTAGTCGTGCGATTGCTCGATCGATTGCTTCCGAACTTAACCTTAAACATTATACGGTTCTCAAACTGAACTTGACTGAGAATCATGGAAGTTCGACTACGATAGTTAAAAAACGGTTTCATTTCACATCACAGTTCAAAACTTTCTTTCCTATCGTTCCGAGGTTCCTGTTAGAAATTAGTTTATACAAACAAGCATGTACGAGATCAAATTATTAAGTTCCTCCGTTTGGTTTGTTATTGTTCCGGTTACCGCTTCTGAAGCAACTATATACAATCTATATGTATTTCTTTTTTTCAAACGAACAGCACGTTCAATCACGCCGAGAATTGCGACGCGAATGGTTCCGCGATTAACTTAACGAAAAAAAAAGTACTTGAACAAGATGGAGAAAAGTAAATATATATGAAGGAAATATGTTGTATACATAACGTGTATATGACAACAATACGCTATATATATAAATATATATACATATATATGTGTGTATATATATATATGTGTATATGTGTGTGTATCTATATATATACATATTATTTTTGTATGGAATAAGTGTCGTAGACGGTGTAAGTACTGAACCTAAATGATCGAGTGTAACAGAAGCAAAGAGAAAAGCAAAATACGAAAACACGAAGAAATGGAGAAATATCGTGCGAACCTCCGGAATCCATCCGTCCGTAATGGTTATAGGTCAGTACCGGACTATGCTGTGCTGCTGTTAGTTGTGTTTAAATTAATTTAAAATATTAATCCTACTCATAGATTATACATATGTAAAACAAGATATAAAACGAGAGAAAGAGAGACCGAGCGAGATAGAAAGGAAAGGGGTATAGTGAGAAGAAGATAGAGAACGCGTGAGAGAGAGAGAGATAGAGAGCGAGTGCATGAGAGGGGGAGGGAGGGAGGGAGAATATGAGGAGAACGAGAGGATTATGAATGCACGCTCTGGGAGCAGCGGCAAGATCGATTAGAAAATTGCTAAAATAGTTCATTTCGGGATCACATGATGCTATGCTATGAACTTCAATTATCTATTGGTTTATTCGTGTTTCTCTGTCTGAACGTCACAATTGTACACTTGATCTTAATAGAAAGGGGCGAGTGGGGATATCAGCGTGCACTAATTGCTGTCCTTCGTGCTTACGATTAGTTCCCTGAACATTTTTTACATCTGTCACCAACAGGCTCAGAAATGTATATATATATATATATATACATTATATACATGTATAAATATATATACATTATATACATGTATAAATATATATATATTGTCATTTCTTTTTGAAAGTTGACAGTACAAAGTACGTCAATTAGCCTTTGATTTTGACGCATGTAGACTGTTAGTTCATGGATAATTTTGTAAATGTTGTTCAAATAAAGTAAATGCTTGCCGTTGTTCCAGAGAACATATACACACATAGCACACATACACAGACACGTGCACACAGTTAAACACGTACACGTACATTACTTTGACTCGAAGGAGAGTGAGAGAGAGAGGAGGAGAGAGAGAGAGAGAGAGACAGCCTTAAGCCTCCGCTTGTACCAACTTAACGAATTAATTGATCAGGTGCGAGACCGTCTATTTGTAGATATCATTTCGAAGTGGAAGGAATACACATACGCCACATAATATTAATGGGATCTATGTAATTTTTTCTTGGAGCACGAAGAGTTGATCGCCTGCATACGAAAGAAACAGAGAGATTTCGCGACCGGGAGATTCGAAATACGAGCGAGGACAAACAACAGAAATTGTTCGCGATAACGAGGAATAGTATTATTCGTTTCGAATGAAGATGGACTTGATGTAAACAGTGTTAACGGTTCGCTTCGGCGCGCGGTCATGAACCGAAAACGGTCCTCATTTCTCACGAAGTATCTCCTCTCTGTCATAACACAAACGTTGGAATCGTTTACGCTGTTCGTAACGTCACGCTTTTCGAACGAGCAGTCCGCGGACGGGACAAAAATTTGAAAAACTATATCGAATATAGACTTTTGCCTAATCAGTCGACAACATCGGTTTGACTTACATCGTTTCGATGTATTCGTATTTGTTCACGTCAGATCCATCTTTAATCTGATTGTGAGGGAATAATAGGATTTTCGTTGTTGCTTGTAACACAACTACTACTCGTCCGCTGTCGAATCGCGTCGTGCGCGCACGCGCGCGCGTGCACACAAACACACGTACACACACATATACCGTCTGCTCTGTTCATACACGATGAGAAACAATTTCTATCGTAGAGAAAGGACAAGAAGGAGAGAGAGAGAGAGAGAGAGAAAGAGAGAGAAAGAGAGAGAGAGAGAGAGAGAGAG